GCTTTAGTTTTTATTCCTTTGTGAGAGGATATAATAGTGAGTTAATTAACTAGGACTGTCATAACTAAGTATGACAGATTGCATGGTTTACACAACAGAAATTTAGTTTTTCATGGTTATGGAGATTAGAAGTCCAAGATCATGGTGACCACAGGGTTGTTTCTTCTGAGGCCTTCCTCCTTGGCCAGTATATGCCTATCTTCTCCCTGTATCTTCACATAGTCCTCCCTTTGTATTTGTCTATGTCCAGATTTCCTTTTCTTATAAGGACACCGGTTATATTTGATTGTGGCCCAACCTAATGAACTCATTTTAACTTATTTACCTCTGTAAGGACTCTATTGCCAAATACAATCACATTCTGAGTTATTGTGGGTTAGGACTTCAACACAGGAATTTTGTGATGGGAAGACACAATTCAGAACACAAAAAATAGTATCCAAGTTGACTCAAAGGAAGAACGAATCTGAGTCATCCCTGGCTGGCTCCATGATTTTCAAAAAAGAACATATATAAAAGATAGCCTCTTTCTCAAGATACTGGAGGGGTCAGCTAAGAGTCCTTCATTTTCAGCAGTGCCATTGGAACTGAGTGACAATGCTTATGTACGTGGACCTGAACTTTGGAGCTTGAGTCAAAAATCATTTGCTCTTGGCTGAAACTGTCATAATTTACTATTTATTTGGAATATAAATCCTGCCTACTGCAAAAGGACTAGAGGGGGCATATAACTTTAAATATAATGAAAAAGAGAAGAGTAATCATACCAAATATAGAGAAAGAATAGATGTTACTAGTTGACCAGAAAGTGCTAAAGATTATAGTTTGGCCTTGATTATTTTCTGGATTTCCCGAAAACAAAAGAAGATAGAGAAATATACTGAGATATGTCAACTTCATGGACTATTAAAAGAAAGCAGACAAGCCTGCCTGCAGAGTCAATTTTTTTTTCTGGAACTAAACCCAAGGAGATATTTATTGCGTGAGACATTTTGCAGAGACCCTGAGTGAATTAAGAGTGTCAGATGTTGAATAAGGGGTAGTGGATCATAAAATAGGCAATGTCTTCAAAAAGGTTTAATGAAAGTAATTATTTATAATAAAAATTGTAACTAACTTTCTTGTTCTAAGGGGAACATTTGGCATAATTCATAACTTTGGGGAAATAAAATCCTTCAGAAACCCCATTTTCTCTGTGATACTTGAAGTGACTGCTAGTGGAAGAAAGGAATCTGGAGATACTGAATAAGCTACCACATTACAGCAAGGCCTGGTACTGAGTCTTGGGACACGAAGTGCCGTGTCTAGACATGATCTTGGCTTAGGAGCTACGAAACTGAAAGACTTTCCAAAAAAAATGCATAAATTTCTTTCTTTTCTTTCTATTTCTGTCCTCCTCTTCCTCCTCCTCCTATTCCTGCGTTTCTCCTCTTGGCTCCCAAGAGACAAGGATTAGAAGAGGTGGTCCATACCATGCCTGAATAACTAAAAGTTGAGTGGCTTTCAAGAATGGGATGGCATGGATCTGATGTCGCCAGCCTCCAAGATAGCCTCCCAGTGATCCCTGCCGTCTGGAATTCATGGCTTTTGTAATTCCCTCCGACACTGTATCAGGGGCAGTCCGTGTGACCAATAGGATACACCAGAAGTGATGGCATGTCATTTTAAGACAAGGTCATTAAAAACACGTGGCTTCCTGCTTGCTATCTCTTACCCTCTTTCTTGGATCACTCACTCTGGGGGAAACCAGTTGTGTCATGAGCGGCCTCATGGAGCGGCCCATATGGCAAAGGCTTCCTGCCAGTAGCCATTGAATGAGATTGTAAGTGGGTTCTCCAGCCTGTCAAGCCTTCAGATGACTACAGCCAGAGCCAATATCTTAACTGAGAGACCCTGAGCCAGAACCATCCAGCTGAACTACTCCCAAGTTCTGCGAGATGTAAAACTTGTGACACAGTGTTGATACGGTTCTGTGACCCACAGAAAGTGTGAGATCGTAAATGTTTGTTGCATTGGGTTGCCAAACATTGGGCTAATGTGTAATCTGTAATAGGAAGCTAATAACAGAATTCAGTTGCAAATTGTTCGCATTGCTTCAGCGCACATACATTCTCTTTCCCGCTGGAATGCCATCCCCCCAAAGATTTCCCTAACCGTTCTAACACCCCCACTCCCTTGGGTATGCACCCTACCCTTAATCTACTTTAGTTTTCTCTATAGTCCTTATCACCCAAGATATAACATTAAGTTTTTGTTTATTGCCTGCCTTTCTTTAAACAAAGTAAGTTTCACAAGCATAGAGAATTGTTTGCTCATTTCACATTTTTGGTACCTAAGAAAGTGCTTGGTACATAATTGAAGCTCAGTAAATATTGGTTGACTAAGCTAAACGATTAACAAAGTCTGTGATAATTGTTGGCTTACAGTGCTGGGAAGAGCCAGTGCACCAGGGGAAACGGCTTGAGAGATGGCCAGAGGGAATCTGCTGAGTGCAGGGTCAGCCAGGATCCAAGGGAGGTTGACAGATGGAGGTGTCAAGTAGTCTCTGTGTGGCTTTCCAGAAATTTCCTTGGGAAGTGAACTAACCGGCAGTGGTGGCTCCAGAATTTCTATAAGGAGGTTTGGTTAAGAGACAATCTGCTTGAGGATGAGTTCTCATAGCCTCTTAAGCAAGATTGAGAAAAGCTGAAGTGTCCATAACAAAGCAAGCGGTTTGACGGAGGGTTGGCTCTAGTCCTTCTATGTTGTTTTTGCTCCAGTTGCCAGTGTGGAGAGGCGAATGGACAGCTCCCCGTGAACAGGAGGGGCCTTTGAAGTTTTTGTCAGGCAGAGAGCACAGGAAACACTACCCACTTTATTTTGTGGTCCTCATCAATAAATCTGGAGCATGTTTCAGTTTGCTTGGGGTGATCTTTGTTCTTTTTGTCTTTCCACCCACACCCAATCTGTAGGCAAACCCTTTTGGTGTTTTCTCTCTCCAACATAGACCCAGAAGTTGACCACTTCTCATCACTTCCACCTCTGCCGCCCTATTCCAAACCACCCTCATCTCTCACTCAGATTGTTGCAATGGTTTCCTAGCTAGCTTCCCTGCTTGTATCGTGGTGCCACTGTTAAAACACAAGGCCAGAGGCCACCCTTTAAAATACATCAAATCGTATTATTTATTCTGTTTGAAATTCCCTAGTCTCATTGGGAATAAAAGCCAAATTCCTTGCAATGGCACCAGCCTCACTCAAGCTGTCCCCGTTACCTCTGGACCCCATCTGCCACCACCCTGCCCCACACTTTCTGCCCCAGCCATGCTGGCCTCCTTGTACTTCCTGGAACAAGAAATCGGGCCCTTTGCTCTTGAATCAAGACCTTTGCATTTGATTTTCTATGTGCCTGAAACCTTCTTCGTACAGATGCCCACACTGCCTGTTTCCTAACCCCCTTCAAGTCTTTTCTCCAATGTCACCTTTTCAGTGAAGACTTTTCCAATCATTCTTTTATTTTTATTTAGTTAAAAAAATTTTTTAGAGAGAGAAAGAGTACAAGTGGGGGAGAGGGGTAGATGGAGAGAGAGAGAGAGAGAGAGAGAGAGAGAGAGAGAGAGTTGTAAGCAGGTTCCATGCTCAGCATGCAGCCAGATATGGGGCTTGATCCCAAGACCCTAGGATCATGACCTAAGCTGAAATCTAGAGTCAGATATTCAACTGGCTGAGCCACCGAGGTTCCCCTGATCATTCGAAAAATCAAAACCTTTCTACACTGCACTCCCCATCCTCCTTCTCTGCTTTATTCTAAACCACACAGAATCCCACATTGATATCCACACACACACAAATTCATTGATTTTATTTTATTATTTGTCTGCCGCCAATAGACAAGGGCTTTTCAAAATTTAATCTGAGGATTCTGTTAAAATGCATGGTCTGAATCTTTAATATCCCAAATGTTGCTGATGCTGCTGACCCAAGAACCATGTACCAATAAGCAAGTTTCCAGAACTGTGTTGCCCAATACAGCCTCACTCCACATGTTTCTTTATGTTAAAATTTACTAACATAAAATAAATTTATGTTTTATTTCTTTAAATTTTATTAACGTTGATTTATTTTTGAAAGAGAGAGAGAGAGGACAGAACATGAGTGGGGAGGGGCAGAGAGAGGGGGAACACAAAATCTAAAGCAGGCTCCAGGCTCCGAGCTGTCAGCACAGAGCCTGATGTGGGGCTCGAACTCACCAACCGTGAGATCATGACCTGAACTGAAGTTGGGCACTCTACCAACTGAGTCACCCAGGTGCCCCAACATTAAATAAAATTTAATATTCAGTTCCTCAGTCAGGGTAGCCACACCTCAGATCGTCACTAATCACATGTGACTAGTGGCTACCCTATATACAAGACAGCACAGATAAAGAACATTTCGTTACTACTGGAAGTTCAAATAGGTAGCCCTGCCCTAAAACTACTCTATATGGTAGCCACATCTGACTATGTAAATGTAAATCAATCAAAATTAAATAAAAAAAATTTTTTAAATTTTTTTAGAAAGAGAGAGCATCCAAGAAGGGGAGAGGGGCAGGGGGGAGAGAGAGAGAGAGAGAGAGAGAGAGAGAGAGAGAGAGAATCCCAAGCAGGCTCTACACTCAGTGTGGAGCCCAACATGGGAATCAATCCCACGACCCTGGGATCATGACCTGAGCCAAAATTAAGAGTCACTCATCCGGGGCACCTGGGTGGCTCGGTTGGGCGGCCGACTTCAGCCCAGGTCATGATCTCACAGCTCGAAGGCTCGTGGGTTTGAGACCCGCATCGGGCTCTGTGCTGAAAGCTCAGAGCCTGGAGCCTGCTTCCGATTCTGTGTCTCCCTCTCTCTCTCCCGCTCCCCTGCTCATGCTCTCTCTCTGTCTCTCAAAAATAAATAAACATTAAAAAAATTAAAAACAAAAGAGTCACTCATCCAACTGAGCTACCCAGGCACCCTAAAATGAAATAAAAAAAATTTTTTTTAGAAATAAAATTTTTTAATGAGTTTTTTATTTCCATGAGTTGATTTCAAGTACTCAGTAGCCACATGTGGCTAGTGACTGCTCCGGTGGACAGCAGAGATACGGAATATTTCTATCACCACAGAAAGTCCCGTTGGATGGGATGGCTTTAGAATCCAAGCTCTATGAGGTCATGGACATTTGTCTGTCTAGTTCACTGGCCCATCTCCAGTGCCTGACATGATAGGATCCCTAAGTTGGCCTTCAAGAAATCTTTGTTGATTTGAATCAAAATGCCATTTACGTTTTGGTCTTCCCTGAATAGATGATGGGTGTCTTGAGGTAGGACTTGTGTTTGCTTTTCATTATGTCTCCAGCAGCTGTTGATGGAAGACCATCAGTCAACATTCATTGTATCGAATGTTCAGCATGCTTTAAACTTTCCAGCTCCTGAGGGATCAGTGTGTTTCCACGTGCGTATAGTTAACTGGGCACAGGTGGAGGCTCTCGTTTGTGACTCTAGTCTTTCTTCGTGGTCAGACATGGGGAGGGCCTAACGGCTGCTGCCTTCTACTCTTTTGGAGAAGAATTGCTCAAGTCCCTGAGCTGGTGCAAACTCTGATCTGAACAAATTACACCTAACAGCCCCTCTCTTCCTGTGCAGTACTCCACATTCCCAGATGTGCCACCTAAAAAAAGAAAAAGGTACTTCATTCTGAAAAAGTAGCAACGTAAGACCTACAGCGTTTCTTCGATATCTTTGGACTATTTCATATCTTGAGTCCTTTAATTGTGCCTTTCCGTAATCAGATCTAACTGCTCTGTCCAAAAGAAAACACTAAGAGGCAGCACATACAAAAATTTAGCTGTGTTCTTTGGAAATTATTTCCCTAGAATGCTGGCTATTTCTGATTATCAGTGGTATTCATCCAGCTATATTTTTTTCCAGAAAAAAGTCTGGCTAGGGCATTTTAAAATCAGTACAAAAGATACATTTCGCTACTACCACACTGGGAAAAAAAATATTGTGTTTGGCCAAGAGGAGACTTTGGGATGCCACCAATAAATACCCTCATGTTCAGTCTTGGTAACCAGAACTGAGAAGGAAAATCAGGCCATGAAGTCCTGTCTGCATCCTAATTCAGCTGGGTTATTTATCCCCTTGGCTTTCTCTTCCAGCATTTCAATTTTGTTGGCTGAGTCAAGCATCTTGTTTGTCCTCATTCCAGCATCGGTAGAATATCTCTGTTCTTTTATTGTTTTTAGTTGGACAGACTGGCAAGATTGAGAGTGATTTTGACAAAAAGGGAGGGCAGCTGCAATGCTCAATATTTTTGATAGATGCAGTTCTGTTGCTCTTTTGTTCTGGGCCTTGAAGCTAATGTGTCTCATGAAGCTAAATAAAATATGAAGCAAGTGAGTGTTTCAGGAACCCCGGAAACTTTTATGAAATGGCATCAGTGCTGTGTACTCTGACTAAATATATACACATATGTGTATGTATAGGTATCTATATCTATCTATCTATCTATCTATCTATCATCTATCTACTATTATCTATCTACCTATTATCTATGTATCTATCTATCATCTATCTATCATTATCTATCTTCTATCTATCTATCTATCTATCTATGTATCTATCTATCTATCTATCATCTATGTATCTATCAATCATCTATCACTGTTTATCTTCTATCTATCTATCTGTTCTCCCTTGTGGGGGTCTGGAGGGTGAGGCTTTCTCTTAGTATGAGACCATATTGAAGTTCTGCTGCCACGCAGACTTCTGTATCAAGAGAAATGTTGAGGGACACATTAAGAATTTATTTCAGAAAGCCCATTGGAGACATCCCGAATGCTGGACCAAGGTAAATCCAGGGACATTCGGAAACAGTTAATACAGATTGGGGTAGTGGGCAGAGGCCTGAGGAAAGTTAGGAAAATGGTCGGCAAGTGGTTCTACTCTTTATTCGGATTCTGCGAAGTCACAGAGATGGTGGCTTAAAGCAGTTTTCTGGAGGATTAGGTGTTCAGATGTGCATAGATCCTACTGAGGTTAGCTGCCTGACACTCACTTGAAGCAGATTTAAGTTATTCCGATGCTAATGATATCTTGGAATATGATCAATGATATCTAGAGCTTTTCTACCACCCGGTCCGTGTCTGTTGCATCCATTACAACCCAAACAGAAGGGAAAGGGTTTATTTTTCAGTTCTATAATGTGGTGGGAGCAGCGGGTATTACCATGACAAGGCAAACGGAAATGTGAAATCTCTAATCACGATCCTTTCGCCCGGAGCCAGAACGCTTGCAAAATGAAATGCAATGTTTTAAAAATTCAGCTATTTGTATTTCTAGTCCCTTACTGGACATATAGAAAGAATATGTTTGGTCATTAAAGACATGACACGATACCTACAAACCCCTCATTCCTGTGATGTTCTAGTAGAAAGAAAATGTCGTCAAGAACCCTGACACATTTCTCTAAGTGGCCTTTTGAAATTATTGAACCACATCTATTAGAGGGCTTATCTGTAGTTTTATAACAGTTTTCAAAAACTTGCTGTCACTCATCCTTTACCTGAGGGTCCCTGGATTCTAACAGCAGCAAAATCTATCATTGTAAATGCTGCACAAGCAGGAACATCCACGTAAAAGAGGAGGAAATTGTGAGTGATGAGTGAACATCTACAGAGAGACCATGAAGTTTTTGGGTGGCTCCCAAGCCCCTCCCCCCCAATTTGTTAAACTTATTGTTTATCGTTATGGAGTACGCTTGATCTTAGCCAAAAGGCCGAGATGCGATAGTTATGGGGTAATTAACTCTCTGCCTACAGTTTGGAATTCACTTGCCAGGGGTGGAGTGGACCTCTGTGGTCTCCCAGATGGAGGCTCTTTATTTTTCCAAGACCATCTCCAAAAATGTTCCATGTCCCTGACAAATTAACTTTTGTGCTCCAGCAGTGATATTTTCTGTTGGACACTGGGCTATCCACACTGAGTAATGCTGCCAAGATGGTCTTTGAAATCACCATAGACCCCCACAGGGACACGTCTCTGTCTGACAGTAGCGGACAACCCAAGAGTGGCCAAACCCATGTTGTGTGTACAACTGAAAAACAAAAACAAACCCAAACCCAAACAAACAGGATAAAAAACATAGAGAACTCAAACCTGAATTTCTATTTCGTCAGTTGCCACAGAAAATGTAATGGACAGGGCTATGCAAAAGGAGAGAAGTACATGAAATTAATCCCACTCAAAGTCAAAGCAGGAGTAAGCTTTAAAAAAATTTAAAAATTTGCATCTGCTATCACCCTAAGAATTACCAAAGGTGACTTAGTTTCAGCCAAGGGAGACTTTTAGCCAGATTTCCCCAAGACCGTTCTTGGATTTCAGCTACCGCCAGGGTTAACGTCGGGCTCCCAAGCCCTGGAGAGGAACTTTGCGATGGGGCAGCCTGATACAGTTCTTTGCGTTCAGAAAGTCGGGTAAGAAAGGTCACTTTTCTTCCTGGACGGGACAAGTTATTGGCTGTGAGCTGTTAGGCATTAGAGCCACAAGGCCAACGAAGTTAGCGTGAGGGAAGTTAAAAAAACAGAAACACTTCAGCACTGGAGAACGTGTGGCTTTTCTTTTTGTAAATGCAAAAGGAGTCCTTCCATAACTTGATCACCTTCAAGACTATTTTGCCACATGCATTTGGGATTAAACACTAGTTTGAAAAGGAAGGGAGGCTAAGGCTCTCCCGTGGCAGTGTTTGTATTTCCCATCGCTTTCCTCTGTGCACTATTTTTAAAAGAAACATTACACACAGGAGCCCTAAGGCGATGGCACCGGTGAAACAATGCCAGCTTGGAAATCCAGAGGAGACTCTGGTTTTCATTATGTGAGCAAGAGGTCATTCATTATTTAAGTGCTTCTCTCTCTCTCTCTCTCTCTTTCTTTAAATCTACAGCCTTTTGGTCTCCAGCCTTCCAGTGCATCCATGGTCATTATTCTTTGGATATTTTTAAATTATGAACATAGAGCCAACTGGAGTCTCACAGTCCAACTTGCTAATGGAAAGCCTTTGTGGCACAGACGCCATTCATATAGATCAACTCTGTCGTAAATCACATACTGGCCTCTGTGGTTGTAATGAGAAAAAGAGAAATGGCGTGAATTCTCCCTCTCTGGTTTTCTTACTAAGAGCAGAATCTGTTCAGCAAAATGATCTCTTTAGGGGCTTTACTAAGTGGCCAGGGAGCAGGAAAACCCAACACTTCTCACATTTCTTCATTATTAAGGGGAGGGATTGCAAAAATGAAGACTTGTACAGTTGAAATCCAATGCATTTGGGTAGTTATCCTGTAAGTGTGAAAAGTGTAGAAATCTACAAAGGTAATTATATCTACTTTGGTCTCCATCTCCAAAAGAAAGGCTTTGAGATAAAACAAGAAAGGCCATTTATCAGTTGTGACAGTTTTGTCCCATTATCTACTTTCTCAGAAATGAAAAAGACCATGATGAGTTTGTTTAAATTCTCAGCATAAATACCCATGAAGAATACATTATTGATGTGAAACCTGGAATTAAAAAAAAAAAACTTATAGAGGGTGGCTGTGTTCATTAGTGGTGGTAGAAGTTTGGAGAAAGAGGGAGTGCTGATGCCTGGTTAATCTTTGTAGTTAGAAATCTCTTTCCCTCTATCTTTTGCATGCTTATCTGGAAATGGCCTTAATATGCCTTCTCAAACTCTGGAAGACATTCGGGGCTCTGGAAAACCACAAGGATGGCTGTGCCTCACTGCAGTGAAACAGAAGTTAAAAGCCACCACCCTCGCATTTTCTGATTGCTTCCGTCATTTGGTGAATTCTTACTGTGGCAGATGATTTCACCTTCACAAGCCTGATAGTATTTGAGGTTTCAAATAACCCATTCTCAGTGAATTTACAAACAAAATCAATTTCTTGCCAATTTTAATGGCTACTTAATCAATTTTACTTGGGCCATCTGATATTTTTGACATTACTGACACAGACTGGTTTGCAATAAAGGGGCATGGTAATTGAGAAGCCTCAATTATTCTGACCGTTCCCATCATAAACATGTAACAATTGGAGTGGTACCAAAGAGCACTTATGTGGGCTGAAGAATCCAAGGATAACTGAGGGAAGGGGCTTCTAGCATCCTCTCCCTGTGCTAGATTCTGGAGAAATCCTGACTGCAGGTTCTCGGGCATGTGACTGTGCTTGAACTGTTACCATGTATGCTGTCTGGGAGGACAGTCAAGCTGGTTGAGGTTTGTCAGAGTTTGTTCGAGAAATTTTGTTGCAGGGTTGTTTTCACAGAACATCCCCACTTTATAGTGTGTGTGTGTGTGTGTGTGTGTGTGTATGAAAGCATGTGTATGTGTACCCAGGAGTTATGCTGTGGGATGATGTTAGAACAGAACAGAACTTGCTATTTCCGTATGACTACCTCAAGTTAACAAAGTTAACTTAGAGTTAGTATAGTTAGTATTATGATAATGTTAACCTATGGTAAGGAGAAATTGCTTTATTAGCCTTATTAAATATTGTCTTCCTAAGTGGGCTCCATGTATGCTGTTGTGGATGCTCAAGTGCACCATGGCTTGTGATGCTCCCCTTGACGGAGTTATGAAATCCAGTTCAAGGGTCCCTACCTCTGAGATGAGTCCCTAAGTGCTTACTCCTCTCCATAGGGTGACGAAAATTACTTCTTGGGTAAACTCAATCAGGGGAAGACTCTTAATGCCACCACAGCGTCTGGCATATATTAAGTTCTTAGTAAATTATTTGTTGGAAGAATAAATGAAAGGGTGTTGCCTCTGTCCTTTTTATATTCCCCTTCCCCTTCTACAGCTCATTACATGATAGTATTTGATCCAAGGTTCCACTTGGGGTAAGGATATTATCTCTTATCTACCCAGATCCTATAATAGTACCAGCTCGATAAACCTTTGGAGAGGGGTTGCAGGTTGCTGGGTACTGTCTGCTCCTTCAGAAGAAAATGACTGGCACTCCCTGGGCATCCTTTGTTTATGGAGAATGGCTGTAGTTTCCTGTCTCCATCATACGTTGATCCTCATGGGTCAGGACAGAGTTCAGACATCTTGATCTCATCAGTGTAAAACTCGGTAGCTCAGTGACTGCAAAGAGAAACATTCCACAGTACAGAAATGGCTAGATTGGAAATATTTAGGTCAAGGCTCCTTGTTTTTTTTTTTTTGTTTGTTTTTTGTTTTTTTTAAGTGATCTTCAAGGCCATCCTTGGTACCTGGATGATGCTGGTTGCTAACACCTGAGCAAGAATTCAGAGTTTAAAGGGAGCCCTCCTGGGTGGTTCACAAGACCAGCATCCTAGTTGCAGATATTTCTTGGGACAGCTCTGCTGGAGATGCCACATGGTGCCGGTGACAGGCAGGGATTGGGCCACCTCCAGCTTCCAAATGGAGATGTTCCTTCCCAGGTGGTTTTAGCAGATCCTAGGAGATCTAGTGGCTTGAAGGTGGGGAGAAAGCCTCTACAAAATGGACCTGTGACTTTAGGAGAGAATGGCGCACTCAGAGAAAAAGGAGGAATAGTCACATGCCGGGTACATCCTGGATGAGGTGCCCCCAATCTGAGTGTCTGTGGGAGTATTTCTCTGCCCAGGTTGAACAGCTCGACCCACCAGGTGGCCATTAATGAAAGTGCCTGAGTTGCTCTTTGGGCACCCAGAGCTGTGTTTGGGGGCGTCTCAGTGGTAGCATCAGCATCCACTGCAGACAGATGATGACAGGCACGCCCTTTCCCCCGTGCCTTCCCTTCCTGCGACATCAAGAACCATGTCTAGTGAATGGATCGAGGAGAAACCACTTGACCAACAGCATGCAAGAGGGAACCCCACCTGATTTCACAGATCGTCTGTATGAACGTTTTCACTTCAGTGTTTACCAGGTCTCTAAATATGCTCTCTCCCCTCCCCTACTGTCGATTCAGCAGTTCTTCCAACTAATGTCTTTCTTAACTAATCATGACTGCTAGCTCTTGAACAAATGTACTACTTTTTGTGACTTCTCTGTGAAAACTTAGACGTGGGTAGCAATTTTATCGAATTACTTTTCCTCTTAAAAATGTCCGACCTGTGTGGTTTCATGCCGCACGCTCTTGGATATCAAGTTTCTTGAAGACTTTTTCTAATTCTGAACAAATGTCAATCTCAGAAGTCATGAACCTCAAGGACAAATGCATTTTACTTACTGCTAGCTTTATTCTGGGATCTTGACAGGAACCGCCTGGGGCTGCCTCAACTTAATGTTCCCAGGTAGTTAACCGTCCTATTGGTTAACGTGACAGTCATTAAGCAGCTGACATAGGACCCGAAGAAAGCTGAGGACAAATACATTTAAAATCAATATCTCTTAAAACCTTTTTACTTGCTAAGGCTGAAGTGTGCCATTCATCTCTCAGTACTTGCTTTCTGCCCTATTGATTTCTTGGATCCAAAGGTGTTGGTGAGTAGAGAATCGGCATGTACTTTTTTCCAACTGAATTATAATTTTTCCTTTTAGATCAAGTTGCCATATTTCCCTGCTAGGTGGTTTTAATGCTTTAAGACCTTTTAAAAGATTTATAACAACCAATAGCATAATTTTGAAGATTACTCCAATGTTTGCATTAGGGCCAGGGGAAGCGCATTCAGGTCCACAGTTACGTATCCACAATTCCGAAATCTGGAAATCTCTGAAGGAATAGAAGATTTTTTTTTCATTGTGTTTGGTGCAAATTAATTTGGTGACAGAATCTGACCTGAAGGGATGCAAGGCTCTTTACAGTCTCTAATAATCTTACACAGTGTGACTATTTGTACCTATTGCTAACATGTTTGACTAATGTTTGACTAAGGGTGCTGTTCTAGACTCTGCTAGAGGTATTTCAAAATACACCACAGGTAGCTTCCTAAAATATAAAAAAAAAAAAATTATGAATTCCAAAATACATCTGACTCCAAGAGTTTGGGTTAAGGAATTGAAGACCTGAACCAAACTGTGAAGGCAATGATTTTTCACCCGCCTCCTAATTTTCAGCCACAGTCACTGAACCAAGGGAAATGACAAAATGCAACTTTAAGTGGACAAGAGCTGCAGTGACCTGACTTGCTCTCTACTTCAGAAGAGAGCTTGCTCACCCTTGGATGTCCCTCTCTGAACACCATGTTCCTCTGGCCAGGGTATTAAATGAGGCTTAACCCAATTACCAACATATTGCTTTATTTCTTGGTGGTAGTAAATTAAGGCTTTCTAGAGTCATACAGCACGCAGTGATTGAACATTAGAAATAAAAAAACAACAATGAGCATTCATTTTCGCAGAGGCAGGAAGGAAGCAATGTTTTAACACAGAGAGATTTCCTAGTGAGGCCTTTTGCTTGGTCTCTAAAAATCTGCTGAGCTGTTTCCCCAGTGACCTCTGCCACAGATTCCCACCCCAAGTGGAGGCAAAGCGGATGAAGAGAAGACGGGGAAAAAGGAGAGACGGGGAAAGACAGCATGTGCTGGGCAATGAATGTAGAGGTCACCTTTGACTCCTGTTTGGAAGACAGTTTAGGTGATGCGGTCAGGTGATGGTGATAAAGGTATTTTTAATGGGACACCTATTCTCTGGTTCAGGGAGCCATTTTGGATCTCCTCATTCCGGGAGTATGAAAATACCACTTGGAAGACCCCGGTGCCAAGGAGTAGGGACAATCCTCTGTTGGCTCTCAAATTCTGAAATTTTAGACAGTCACAGAGCAGGGGAACGCTACCTTCAACCTCATCCATGACTCTAAACCCTGTGCTATCTCCAGGATACTATTCCCAGCCAAGCAATTCATTTCCCCCCCGTGGCATGTAGTCTCGATTGCACACTAAGTTGTTGGTGATGTTGACCGGAGAGGAGGTGATGTCATATGACGCACGAGAGGAACCCCCTGGGCAGGTGCCACGTCACTCTATCTTTTCCTTCCCAACAGAAGACAAAGAAACACAGTGAGCTGATGGTGGGAGTGCAGCTGTTGACTTGTGTGTAGGCTCGATGTGAAACAAATTCCATACACCTGGCTTGGAGATGCAGAGGTTCTGGGTTGGGGAGGTGGACCCTTTGAGAAAGAAATGGCTGAGTACTTGAATAGTGTTGAAGGAGAGTGGTGGCTAGAGAATAATCTGGGAAAAGTCATGTGTGGATTAACCAAAGGCAACTAAATTTCATGAAAATGAGCAGCGGACTTTTCTGGCATCCTGATCTCACACGCATGAAGCTAGCAAATGGATCGCCATCCAAATAGGGCCATTTAAAGTTCCTATTTGGCAATAATTTTAACGTTCTATTCCAAGGGCCTGGTTGGTGGACCGGCGCCTGAGTTGTATCAACTTCCTTCTTCCATTTGCCTGACATTTTTGAGTGAACAGTATTTAAACACCTGAAAGTCTGTTGTGCATTCTTGGACAGAGAACATTTAGAGAGCCATGGGAGAAGGCACCCGAGGTGGCAAATCTGCACCGTTAAACACTTATGACTTAACCCCAACAGGCTTCATGCGATGATGTCTGGATGCCCAAAGAAATAAATAGATGAGAAAAGTCGAAATGTGATCTGAATGACAAAGAACCAACAGGCCTGTTCCTGCCAGCTGCCGGGCAGACCTGCCTGATGCAGGCCACAGGTGCACTGAGAGGGACTGGAAAAACCTTGGAAGACCTGCGTTCTCTTGGGCCTCCCTTGTTAATTAAAAATCGTGAGGGTCTTTCCTCCTATTTGAAAACACTCAGCAAGATCACCTTGACTGGGGATATGGGCTGTGCTGTGCGTAGGAATCCCATTGCCTCCACAAGAGGGCGTGGGGTGCACCCATGTGGGAAGCCCTTGTCACAGAAACGATCCACCTAGGGGGACAGGGAAGGTGCCCAAGAGACTCACCCACCAAAATAAACGGGTGGAGTGACATTCGGATTGGAGTGAAGGAACTATAGGGCATTCACGCTGGCACTTCTGAATCTCCTGAAAGCACCCTCCAAAACCAAGAGGTGGATGCCACCTACGGTCCAGGCCAGGGTGCTCCTGTTTATTGACATCTCTGTCCTCTCAGTTCTAAAATGGGAAGGGAGCGGATCCTGGGGCAGGGGTGGCCTCTGATTCAGTGCTGGAAGCTGAAGCCCAGAGAGGTCAAGTGGTTTGCCCAAGGTCACACAGCTATTTAGCGGCAGAGCTGGGGGGAAGAATGCAGCCCCCACTCCCTCTCCCTCCCCTGCACCGTGCTGCCTGGACAAGTGATTCTTTAGAAAAGGGTCGTTAGCACTTTGCATATACCACTTTGTATATTCTTTAACGAGAATCTGCCTGGGTGTGGGATTGATGGGTAGGGCTTAGGCCAATGAAGCAGTTTAAGGGGGAGGAGGTCCGGAGAGCATCACTATTCGGAGGATTTGTGGCTGCTGCTGGCGAGGGCGGGGTGGGGGTGGAGGTGGGGGCGCAGGGGGTGCGCGTAGAAGCCTGGGAGGTGGCCAGGAGCGGAGAGACAGAGAAAAGAGGCGTCCTCCAACACTCCGCCGCCAGCTTGCCGAGGCACGCCTTTCGGGAGACGAGACGCTGCCTCGGCATGACCCGACCACACAACCGGTTCGCTGTCAACAGAAATTCGTGCCCCTCCCCCCGCTCCCCCGGGCTCTCCCCCCACCCCAACTCCCCCTTCCTTCCCTTGACCCCTGTGGGCCCGCCAGACATAGGGAGAAAGAAAAGCCGGATGCCTAAGAACCTTCCAGGAAGAAAGAGCTGTTACGAGCGAGCGGCGGTCGGTGCTTACATACGCTGCTTTCTAGAAAGGGGTTCGTGGGGTCCGTGCGGCGCGCGCCAAGCGCGCTCAGAAGAAGGCGGGGTTGGTGTGCTCGATGACGCAGCGCTTGCAGTGGCGCTTCACGAAGCGCAGGGCCTCCACGGACACCTCGCAGTCCTGGACGTTGAGCATCTGCAGGTCGAAGCAGTTGGCCGCCACGATCTGCAGGCCCTGGCCCGTGATGCTCTCGCAGGACTTGAGGCTGAGCCGCTTGAGGTTGAAGCAGTTCAGGGCCAGGCACTCCAGGCCCGTGTCGGACACCAGCGGGCACTTGCCGATGTCCAGGGACTTGAGCTTGGCGCAGTTCTTGGCGAGGTACTCCACGCCGTGGTCCGTGAGGCCCTCGCAGCCCCGGGCGTTGAGGTAGCGCAGCTTGCCGCAGTACTTGGCCACGTAGCGGATGCCCACGTCGGTGACGCGGCCGCAGTGGGCGATGCTGAGGTACCGCAGGCGCGACTCGAGCTTGGCGATCTCGCGCAGGCCGAAGTCGCTGACGAAGCGGCAGTCGCTGACGCTCAGCTCCTTGATGGAGGCGCAGTAGACCATCAGGTAGCGCAGGCCCTCGTCGGTGAGGCGCACGCAGCGGCGCAGGTACAGGTGGGTGAGCTGCGTGCAGTGCGCGGCGATCGTGTGCAGGCCCTCGTCCTCCAGCACGAAGCAGTCCGTCATGTCCAGGTAGCGGATGGAAATCTGTTTGCCGTGCAGGGGGGACAGTTTAATGGAGGCCTCCCGGGTCAAGCTGATGCAGGTCACTTTGGAGCACCCTGCGCGGAGAGACAGAACACACGCTCAGAGACCCTCCGGGAAGGCGGGAGGCGGGGGGTGGGGGGTGGGCTGGGGAGCCCCGATCCCCTCCGCGAAGGTGGGGGGGGGGGGTACCGTCGCGGGGTCCTGCTGCCCCGCCCCGCCAACGTGCGCGGCCCCGGCGTTACCCTTTCCCTCCTGTGGCCCCCGCGGAGAAGGGAAAGCAAGAACGGGTCCTGCGTGTTTATCCGATCGGGTAACAACTTCCGTTATCTGGGTTGCAGAGGCTTCCCGGGCTTTTGAGTCGGAAAACTGCGCTTTGAATTAATTCCACATCCACCACCAGTTGCCGGATGTTGGGCCAATCAGTCCTTCCTGTGTCTTAAAATGAGGGGTGATCGCTTAAAAGGAGCACTTCCTTTGTCTTAAAAGGGGGATGATCCCGTTCCCTGAAAGGTGGCTGTGAAGAATAAAGGAGACCCTGCTTGTAACACATCTTGCCCTGGCCCAGGAACGTTCCGGAAGCTCCCTAAGGGCCGATTCTCACCCTGCAGTGGTCTGGTAGCTCTGTGGTCAGAGAGGTAAGGTAATTCAAGAAGGGTTGGCCATGGTCTAGGGTTGGCAGAAAGAGCGCTGGCTTGGGAGGCACAGCTGGTTCAGGTCTACCTTTTTATGGCCCCAGGCAGGACGCCTAACTTCTGTGTCTCAAGGTTCTCCTCTATGCAGCGAGCATGAGTAGCTGGTGTGCCTCTACTGTAGGGATATATTGAGAATTCAGTGAGATGATGGGTACAGAGGTACTTGGAAACTCCAGGGAAATACACATAATTATTAATCTGAGATAAGGTGGCCACCTGGAGACTCAATTCAACCCTCTTTGGTCCAAGAACAACTATATCACCTGGATTATTCCTCTAGCGACTCAACCAGTATCCCTGCCCTGTCCTTACTCCCAACTTTATCCTCAGAGCCGCTCTCCTGAAAACCAGAACTGGAATCATGTCACTTTTCTCAAAGCCTCTGGATACCACCCATGGCACTCCAGGTGTGAAACCTCAAGTCTGAGGGGGCCTCTGAGGACCGGGACCGCTGTGCTCTCTGACGTCATCTCTTTCCCCACTCCTCTGACTCCACTGGCCTCCTTGCTGGGTCCCAGACACCCTCAGGTGCCTTCGGGCCTCAATGTCTATGCATTGTACCGTGCTTCCCCGGTTGCCCCGTGGGCCATCCCCACTCTCTTGGGTCTCTGAGCAAATGTCCAGCTTATTGGCCAACTCTTCCCCAATCACCCTGTATCAAGTGGTACCCCCGGCTTGACTCCCACTTATTTTCAACACTTTTCATCACTTGGTGGCACGATGCATTTATTTGTTCATGTATGTATTTGCTGTCCTCACTCTGCACTATGAGTTCCTGAGGAAAGGGATTCTGGGCTGTTCACTGCTGTACCCCTCATCCCTGGTTCATAGCTGCTGTTCACTAAGTATCTGTTGAATGAATGAATGAGTGAATTATGGAGTGAATAGAACCTTCTATAGGAAGATCAGAGAGGACAACTTATTTTTTTTTGTTTGTAGACAACAAATATTTATTTCTCACAGTTTGGAGGCTGGGAAGTCTAAGATCAAGGTGCCAGCCAATTCAGTTCCTGATTCCTGATGAGAACCCTCTTGTAGACAGCTGCATTCTTGCTGTATCCTCACACTGTAGAGAGAAGAGCAAGTTCTCTGATCCTGTCATAGGGGCTCTTCCCTCGTGACCTCACGTAAACCTAATTACTTCCGAAAGGCCCCACCTCTTAATACCATCACACCAAGGGCTAAGGTTTCAACATGGATTTGGGGGAGACAGGCATTCGGTCCGTAACACTTCCTTCTTCTTCCCACACGCTAGGCAGACCTTTCCCCTCAGGCCAGTGCTTTCATATCAGAAATGTCTCTAGCAGATGGAAATTAGGGATAAAGCATGCCCAGCACACGAGAGGCCCACCCCCATCAAATGGGGGTGGGGTGGGATGAGGAGTTTTCTCTCTGTAGTTAAGTATGCACAAAATACATGACTTCACCTCTCGGCCCCTGAAGCCTATATAAGTGTCTAGGAAATACTTGCGGACCTTGGTCTAGAGTTACTTCTGCCCCACTTAGATAGGATAATTTAAATTCAAACATTTAAATGTCCTCAGGACTTTGACCATGGCTGATGTATATTTATACTGCAAAACAGGTGTCTATTTTACAATGAATTATAATGCCTTTTATTTGTATTCAATTATGAAGTTTCCAGAATGCTTTTATGAACATTTTCTTACCTGATTCCTAATCCATTTTACTGATGAGGAAATTAATGCTTAGGAAGACTTTTGTGTTTTGTTTTTTTTTTTAGATCTAGAAAGCCCTTTAATACTCTGTCCTTCCTCACACGATTGGAAGATGTCTTTAGCTATCTCCCTAAATCTAGCTATTCTTACCCTAAGAATATGTGTATAAATTATACATTGTATACATCCTATACTATATATAATCATATATGAAATACGAATTTCAATATATATTTCAGTTCACTATATATTAATATATAAATATATATAATATACTGTATATACAAATATACTATATATAAAAACATACAGTAATATACATATTTTACATATGTATACATATGTATTATACACTTTATGTATATATATATATATATACACACACACACACACTTTATGTAGTGGGATGAAGTATCTATCCATACACATTGATTTATGTTATGTATTGATGGCACACCATTTATTTATATACTAAGACTATACTGTAATATTACATATACATATATATATTACAGCATACTTTTATGTATGTAAAATATGTATATTACAGTATAGTTTTAGTATATAAATATAAATGGTGTGCCATCAATACATAACATAAATCAATGTGTATGGATAGATACTTCATCCCACTACATAACGTGTATACATATTTTTCATTTTCTCTGTGCTCATCCTGAATCCTTCTGGCAATTCCAAAGCCAGGTGCTTCACCTCAGGCACCTCCGTGCTCTGGCTGCTCAAGCAATACCCGAGCTCCCAAGTGGTGACATAATAGTGCTAATGGGGACTTTCCTCCCACGTCTTGGCAGGCTGCCCAGGAAACTCTTATAAAATTCAGGCCCTGGGAGTAATGAGGTTCAAAAGCCAAGTGCTACCAAGTCAAAGAAGTTCAGGAAGGAGTAAAGCATACAGTCCAATGCTGGAGAACAAAGCTGTGACTCGTCAGAGGCCGTCCACTCTGCTCCAATAGCCTCTGTGGTTTTGCAGAAGGTGGTTCAGCCTCTGCTTTGAAAGTTGTTCCTTTCAGTTTCAACTTCGGCTTTGAAATCGTCCTTTGTTTTGAGTTTCTTTTTTTGTTAGAGCAACTGTAATCCTGTTTCTATGGAATTTCTATGTCCACAGTAGTGGTTTTCCCATCTGTGATGCCTGTGAAGGCACTTTGGTTTTCAAGATCATACGACAACCTTTGTTCCTAAACTCTTAGTTCTGGTTTCTTATTTATTTATTTATCTTAAATATCTAGTAAAATCCGATGCACTCCAGGAAGGACAGTATGTTTGATTCAGGGAAATATATGCCTTGTGTTTGAAACTGAGTCCCCAATTTAATGAAATACTGGTTAAGCTCAGTTTTGGTGGAAGACACTACTTTGATATGCTTGCATTGTTTTAGAGCAGTAATTTTAAATTTAAGCTTCGGTCTTAATTCCTACAGGCTTGTTAGGTTTGGCTTGAGAAGAAAATAAATTGGTCCATGGCTGAGTAGGTAGTATCTGTGGTTAGTTCATGCATTCATACATTACAGAGGTGCAGACCACCGTAGAAATCCTCCCAATTAACCTTTATTTTTTTTAAAGGTGAGGTATCTCACACTCAGTAATATTATGGGACTTGTACAGCCAGACTAGGGAACGTTTCCTGATCCAGGGCTTCGGTTATAGGAGAGGAGGTAAGAAATGACGAGGATATGGCGGGCAACTGATGAACCGCATGAGAGATTTACTGTACATGTGTCGGCACGAAGTGAACATTCAGATACCGAGGACTCAGGAGTCTTGGAAGCGGTGATTATCTATAAGGGGATTCTTGACTGAGGGGAGCACTTTGGTTACATAATATGGAGCTCAGGTAGTAAGTAACAGCACAAGCAAATATGAGAGACAAGAAAGCAGGGGGGCAGAGGGGTTGTGACGAGTTTCCACAGGGTGGAATGCAGGGTTTCTGAAACGATTTGATGGGAACTAAGATAGGAATGGTCCACTGGGATCAGATTATGGGGCCTGCCCTAATACTCAGGGTTAGGAGTATGGATAGTACTCAGTGGGAAATGAACAATATAGGTTGAACAGATCTCTGGCGTTTCTTCAGTTAGTTCCAGATTTGGTTCTCCTTTCACAAATATAATCTTCGTTAACACTTCCTCTCATTATTGGGGTAATACCTCTACCTTCTCTGGGATATGATGGTGAAGTCAACATAGACCAAGTACTGACTTCCAAGCATGTTTATAACAATGACAATCCAAAAACAATGACAACAGTCATGACTTAGTGCATGCCTGCTACACGGTTTGGAGCAGAGCATACATGTTTATTTGATACTTAAATATTTAATATTTATGTTAACCATTGATATTTATTAATTTCCCAACCAAACCACTTCTACTGATAAGGAAGTTTTAGCCACGGTAGCTTCCTAAATGCGTGTTTAGAGTATTAACCAATGGCAATTTTGTCTGAACCTTTTAGAAGTCAAGATGACCACTGAAGACTTTGACACACATAAGTTCACATAACGGTGGTATCCTCAAGTGCAAAGACAGAACATGCCTCATTTTTGCCCTCATAAAGCTTATAATGAATTGAGAGAAAGGAATCTGGGAATATGCAAATACTCAATTGCAAAACCCAGTGATGCTTTACCTGCCTGTACTCAAAAGGCAAAGAGCTGGGAGGAAACTTAACTTGCTGGGGGTCAGGCAGGGAAGGCTTTCCTTAGGGGATACTTGGATTAGAGCTTGGCCAATGAGAAGGCTGTTAAGAGGGCTGTTGGGGAGGGACAGATGAGGGAACAGCATGTAAGCCAGAGAGGTGTCCATACGCCCCAGTGTGCACAGATGTGATGTGTTTGGAGAAACATACACACGTGTAGAGAGCCAATGGCTCCATAGAGGGGAGCACTGAGTGGAAAAAGTGACATGTGAACCTAGGGCAGCTCATGAAGGGCCGTCTACGCTTTGCTGCAGAACTCGAATTCTTCCTGGAGGTTATGGGGAGCAACTGGAAATTTTATGCAGGAAAATGTATGGTTTGACTTGCTGTTTGAAAAAAAGTGCCTCTGGAGGTTGGTTGTGTGGAGGGTCGGTTGATGGGGTTGAGATGAACGTAAGGAGAATGGCTAGTGAATCATGCATCGTGGCAGCAGGTAGAGGAGAGGGGAGAGAATCAAGGTACTGGGCAAGTAGAAACACCTGCACAGGATTCTACTGGTTCTGTGTATAAGATCGGGTAAAGAAAAGCAAGGAGGACTCCCAGGTCTCCAGTTGGAAGAGGACCCTTTGAAGCAATTTCATCTGCAATAATCACGCGGTTTTACACTTTGAAAACTGCCCGGCTTTACCACATTCCATTGATGTTCAAAGATATTATTAATGGTGACAGTTAATTTTATGTGTCAACGTGAGTAGATGACAAGGTGCCGAGACACGTGGCTAAACGTTTCTGGGGGTACCTGTGAAGCCGTTTCTGGGTAACATTAACATCTGAATCAGTGGACTCAGTAAGGCAGACTGCCCTCCCCAGTGTGGATGGGCATCATGCAATCTGTTGAGGGCCTGAACAGGCGGAGGAATGGAGAATTCTTTCTCTGCTTTCACTGTTTGAACTGACACATGGGTCTTCTCCTGCTTTCGAGCTGAGACTTATACCATCAACAGTCCTGGTTCTCAGGCTTGTGGACTTGGACTGAACTGCATTTCCAGTTCTCCTGGGTTTCCAGCTTGCAGATGGCAGATAGATCTCTTTGCGCGCGCGCGCACACGCACACACGCGCGCGCGCACACACACACACACACACACACACACATATTCTGTTTCTCTGAAGAACCCAGACTAAATATTAATACAAGGTAATATGTGATCATGACAAAACCCTACAGCTAGTTGTAGTCAGTTTCAATGACTTGAAAAGATAGCTTTTAAAGTGGGCACACTAGGTTCAAGGAAGGCAGTCTCACATCCTCACGGGGAATTAAGCTCTAGATCAGGGATGAATCTTGCAAAGTCAAGTTTACTGCCAACGAGAAGGTCAACTTGAAAACCAAAGGGAACAAGGCATAGGGAAATTACCTCTGGCAGCCCTCTGGCTTCTCCCAGTATCAACATAATGTTGCCAGATTCCCTCAAAACTGGAGGGCACCATTTGGACACCTCCCCACCCCCCCAGCTGGAATTCTGTGCTCTTAACTTGGTGAGTTAGAGATTCCCTTGTGTATATAATCGCCACATAGATCACAGGGGGTCACAGAGAGGGCATGTGAGAAAGCCACAAATATATTAGGCTCTGCAAATTTAGGGTGATACAGAAGGAGGGCACCATGGCTTACGTAATGGTTAGTCAAAAGGGCGAAGCAGGGTCCACTCACTCAGTTAGAAGCCCAGGAATTTCCATTCCCAAAGTAGTTTCCACATTTCTGAATTTCCAAAGGACTCCAAAAGAGAGGGCACAATTTGCAGCCTGGATGAAGGGTGCGTGGGAACTCCTTTAACAAAGATGGGGATTCCAAAAACAAGGCCTTCTCTAATCTGATTTTCGAAAAGAAAAGGAAACGAGGTTCTGAAAACCAGGCTCACAATGTTCACAATCTTAGCATGTTAAAGAAGCCAATTCCTCACTTTTTTTTCTTTTAACTGAAGAGGAAACACATCGAGAGAAAGCTGTGAACTGTCCCAAATCACAGAGTTTTGAAACCAGTCTCCATCACATCACAATGCGTTCTCTTTCCAGAATTCCTTGGAGGAAAAATGTAAGAAAACCTCTTTGTTTCCTGCCTCTTTATGCCCACAGCTGCTCATGACTAACTGAACGTACGGTTACTATGGTTTTGTCCTGAAGCCAGCTGAAGGAGGGGAGAAACGAGTTGCTTTCCAGCAAGGGAAAGAATCTGCGAAAAATAATTGACTGTCATCTGAAATAGTTTCAGATGTCGGCTTTTGAAAGAGAGAGCAAGCTCAGAGAGTGGACTTTTCCTTCAGATTTTGTTGGAGGGTCTCATTTCCCTCAGAGGCTTGTAAATCCCAAGTTCTGTTTATTTGCCTGTCACCGTGGTTTTTACTGCTTGACCCCTCCCCAACCATCCCTGAGGTGGTGGCTCAGGCTGTTCGTTTCTTTAACTCCCTGATGCATCTTACACATTTCAGCCTCTCAAATGTTGGCCTTTTGACTGGGCAGTGAAGGAGGTAAAGGCTGTCAGTCCGGCTGGATCCTCGTCTGGCACCAAAGTGTGAGTCTGGGTTTTAATTCTTCCTGCCGGAGAGAGGTTTTCGAGCAAAGCAACCATGCTGGGATTTCCTTCAATTTTAAAAAGATCTAAAGGCTTCCCTCGATGGGCCTGATTCTTGCACTACGTAACTGAGAATGCTGCTTAAAATATATATATATATACAAAATCAACCCAAGGGTGAGGAGAGTGGAGGTGAAATATAAGGAGACACTTGGACAGGATGGATTTTCCCCAGTGTCTGCAAGATGGCAGGCAATTCTGAGCACAGCCCAGAGCACAGAGTCAGCTCAGACACAGCTTTTGGGCTCAGGGTGGTGTCTAAACTGCCTGTGTCGGAGTTAGTTACTTGGTTCCCATTTCTGTGGTTGCTCTGACATTAAGTGACGGCCATGGGGAGGAAGGGCGTTATTTAAAAGTCAGACTAACTTAATGGCCAGACAAAACGGTGACACTAGTGCCTTTAAGAAGTTGGCATTGTCTGGGGTGCCTGGGTGGCTCAGTCGGTGAAGCGTCCGACTTTTAGCTCAGTTCATGATCTCGTAGTTCGTGGGTTCGAGCCCCGCGTCCGGCTCCGTGCTGACAGCTCGGAGCCTGGAGCCTGCATCAGATTCTGTGTCTCCCTCTCTCTGACCCTCCCCTGCTCACGCTCTCCTCTCTCTCTCTCTCTCAAATAAATAAACATTAAAAACTTGAAAAAAAAAAAAGAAGTTGGCATTGTTTGATGAAAGGGAGACCTCTGGCCTCCTGGGGTCCTGATTACATAGAGACGGTTTCTCCAGAAGAGTCAGCCTCCCTGCTGCCCACCCTCCGTCCCTACTGGCTATCAGGGAGGGGACCTCCTCCAGGCAGCGGTGTCCCTCTCCCGCTTCGGGACGGTGCACCGGAGGGCCCCACCGACGGGAGGTCAGCTGCCGTTTACCTGACACATCCAGGTGCTCCAGGTTGGGGCACAGGGACACCACGTCGAAGACCGCCTCGTTGGAGATGTTGTAACAGCCCGAGACCTCCAGGCGCCGCAGTTCCGGGCAGCACTGGGCGATCGTGTAAAGCCCTCGGTCCGTGAGCCGCCTGCAGCCACTGACAGTTACGGTTTCCAGCATGAGACAGACGTTGGGTGTGTCCTGGCAGAGTCTGCGGGTCAGCACCTTGAGGGCGCGGTCCACGTTGATGGTCTCGCCCGTCAGGCGGATAGTCCTCCAGAGCCGCGGGTCCCAGGCCAGGTTGTACCAGCGGCGGCACACGCGCGCGCAGCGGCACAGCTGGTTGGTGGGCAGGAAGGAGAAGATCTGCACCATGGACTGGTCCGGGAGGCGCTCGATGCTGGCCTGCTCCTTCTGGGGTCGGGAGGCGAGCCGGATGAGCGGGTGGGTGAGGCGGGTCGGGGGCGGGGAGTGGACCATGGCCACCGTCTCCCCGGTGATGGACGACGAGGAGGTGGACGAGCCCCTTCCATTCTGAAATCCGGGCAGGGTCGGTGGACATATCAGGGCCGGGCTGGGCGTGCTCAGGGTGCGCATGCTCAGGTCGGAGTCTGGCAAAGGACAGAGAGCAAAGGGTTAAGGGTGGCGGCCGCGGAGCCCCGGGAAGGAGGCCGCCGCCGCCGTCACGCGCATTCCACCGGTAACCCATCCTGGGCATCCATCCCCCCCGGCTGCATCCATCACCGGAAGCAGCGGCGCGTGCACGTTTCACCCGTTCCAGACAAAGGCTAATCCTCCATCATCTCCAGGAGGGGCGGGCAACCTTTTCCGGGAAGGACCAGGTATGGGCACTGCAGGCCACACGGGAGCTGTCTCTGCTGCCATCAGTCAGCCGCGCCACCGTGGTGCCAAGGCCGCCACACACCGTCCGTAAACAAACGGCGGTGGCCGCTTCAATGACACTTGTTCTATCGAAACAGACCAGCCGGGCTCGTCCCGAGGGCCACGGCTTGCTGACTTCTGATCTACGTTCCTGGCGGTTATCTCAAGGGCACACCTTCAAAGTTTCATTATTTCTATTCTGGGAAGAAACCTCACATATTATGAACACAAACTCTTTTCCTTTTTCTAATCACATTTTGGTCAGGCGGATAATGATGTTCCGTTTACAGACGCGGGAACGAGTTTCCGAAGAGAAAGAGATACAGAGAACACTGCTGTCTTCCTCTGGCCCGTCCCCCAGTGTCCAGGCCCCCATCTTTTGATAATGGCACCCCAAACTCTGCCAGGGGTCTGAGGATCCACCTACTTCCTCCATTAGACCGGCCATTTCAGATGGTATTTCCAGGCCTTGACTACCTGTGGCAATATATGTTTTTCCTTATTAACAACTGTCTTCCGCATTCCAATGATGTGATTCGTATTGCTCCCTGACACCAGAAAAGATCACTTAATGAGGATAAAAGTGGTTTTTAAGCTTTTGAGGGATGAAGAGTTCTTTAGAATACCAATTCAAGAAGGCTGCTCATTTCATATCCCCACCTTGATAGCTATATCTATATGAAATAATTTAGTTTCTATATAAATATATTTATTTATCATACAGTTTACATAGATAGCTGGACAGATGTATTTAGGATGACATTTATTCTGTCTCTCTAATGTCTATATATTTCACACACGCACGTGCGATCACACACACACACACACACACACACACACACGCACGCAGAGTATATTCATCCCCAAAGCATGAGTTTCTTATTCTGTAGAATAAATGATATGGGCTAGATGAATTCTAAGGTATTTCTAGCTCTAATTCCAGTTCCAAAGACTTAAACAAAAATTCTGTTCTTGTGTGCTTTTCCACATTTCATACTTGGGAATTTTCAAACACTTGTTTTTTTTCAAAGAACTTCCAATAATAACAGAGGACACAGGAACTTCTGACACGGGAATCTCCACTGAGGGTCTGTCTGTAGTTTTCCTACTGGTATCCTTTTTCTACTGCTATCATGTGTTCTTTCAATTTCTTTCTTTATAACCTGACACTGAAAACGTCCTACACGTGCCCATGACTTTGCTCGTGGAGCATCTCTGAATGACTGCCTACTTCCTCTCCCCTTGTCTGCCTCTTGCAATACTAACAACGAATGCTACCTCCTCTAAAAATATTTTCCTAATGTCTTTGAGAAATAATTAATCCCCTTCCTATTCACATCTCCATCCTTGGTTATTAGGCAGTTGTGAGTTTATCTTTCCCTGATGTGCTTGACTGTATTATTTTTCTCAATGTTGCACCTCTCTCTACAGCCACACATTTTTGCCAGGTGACTCTGCCATTCCTTCTAGGTGCAGTATATTTGCTCCATCCAGTGATGCTGGACTTGGCCACGTGACTTGCTTTGGCCAGTGAATATGAGGAGATGTGAACATGCCTGGCTAGTCCACTGACCTTACGGTGGGGAGAGGACCATGGAGAGGACAGAACTGGCTGAAACCTGCAGCTTAGAGCCACGCTCAACCAAACCCAGCTGGGGGCAGCCAATGCCCAGGTGAACCAGAGATGTGTAAGCTAACCCACTGAGCTTGGGGCGACTTGTTACACAGCATTACTGTGGCAGCAGATGACAGATATGCCTTCATTACACTAAAAGCTCCTTTGAGACAATGACTGAATCCTTTTCTTACTTGTGTCCTGGAAGCACCTGACATGGTTTATGGTACACGGTAGCTGCATATGAATGTTCTGAATTGAGAGGAAATACTTAGATGTTCAGAAAACAACGGTTTCTAGCTTGGCATGTGCTTCTGTCTCCCAGGTGGTATACCTACTGCATTTTAAATCGTTCATAAGAAAGGAAGTAGGTACCTCTCTCTTTTGTAATCAGGTAAAATAAACAGTAAATCCGTAAGGACAAGTTTGCATGGAAACCAATTAGGGATTTCCAAACTGCCATCCAAGCTACTGCGGTACTAACCTTCGTCATTAGGTGAACTCTGAGAATTGCCTCCAAAGCCAGCATTTTCCTTAGGCACGTGAACAGCTTATTTAGGGCCAGGAGGGGAGGTCAGTCTCAGGCTTTCAGCTCTGACGTTTAGCTGCTACGAGGGCTCTGACATCTCTCTCCTACCTGCCTACATTCTATTCACCTTGAAAGACAAGCAGTACTCTGCGGAGACCTGCACATCGTGAGTTGGGCCCCCTGCGGGATGAACATATTCATAGTGGGGGTCGGGGCAGCTTCCTAAACCTGCATCTTTTGCCAATTCACTTTTCTTCGCGTTCACACCCCCCCCCCCACCCCGCACTGAGGCAGAGAATGGGAATGCATCCAGACTGACCAGCACGGCTGTGCCTTTGGTGACGCGTTCAGGTTTTTCTTTGCCAACAACCATACCCGAGCGTTCCAGAATTCACACTCAGAAACGGAGGGCAGCCTCGCACGTCTGTGAGGAACATCCTGCCCTGGAGGGGACTCAGGAGCAGGCACTAGCTCTCCGTCCTGCCTTTTCTAGAGCTCCACAGCTGGGTAGGAGTAATTCATGATCGCGCGGCACTGCTTACCCACGTGAGGAGACAAGTGGAGGGGGTCTGGGGGATTTCCACCAGGGCAGCCGGGTGTCTCTTTTGCCAGAATGTGCACCAGCATTCTCTGGTTATTTCCTACTTACTCAGATCGAGAACCCTCAGAGACTTTTTGAAAGGATATAATTTGTCATCATTGAATAAATAACACTTGGGAATTAAACAAATAATAAAGAATAATGAGTCATGCTATGGTCTAAATGTTGGTAGCCCTCTCAAGTTCATATGTCAAAATCCTAACCACCGAGGTGAAGGCATGAGGAGGTGGGGCCTTTGGGAAGTGATCGGGTCCCGAGAGTAGAACCCTCACAAATGGGATTAGTGCCCTTATCAAGGTCATTGTTATATCTCTTTGTTATGTTACCTCCTTTATTATTACAGTGCCCTTCTTTGTCTCTTGTCACAGCCTTTGTTTAAAGTCTGTTTTGTCCCATTGGGGCACCTGGGTGGCTCAGTCGGTTAAGCGTCCGACCTCGGCTCAGGTCATGATCTCGCGGTCCGTGGGTTCGAGCCCGGCGTCGGGCTCTGTGCTGACAGCTCAGAGCCTGGAGCCTGCTTCAGATTCTGTGTCTCCCTCTCTCTCTGACCCTCCCCCGTTCATGCTCTGTCTCTCTCTGTCTCAAAAATAAATAAAACATTAAAAAAAATAAAGTCTATTTTGTCCCATATAAGTATTGATACTCCCTCTTTCTCTTCACATTGATTTGCCGTGATAAACATTTCCCCATCCCCTCACTCTCAATCTGCATGTGTCTTTAGGTGTGAAATGAGTCTCTTGTTGGCAGCATATAGATGGTTCTTGTTTTTTTAAATCCATTCTGACACCCTATGTCTTTTGATTGGAGCATTTAGTCCGCTTACATTCAAAGCAATTTTCGATAGATATGTATTTATTGCCATTTTGGTACTTGTTTGTGGTTGTTCTTGTAGTTCCCTGGTTCTTCTCTTGCTCTCTTTCATGGCTTGCTAGCTTTCTATAGTGATGTGCTTGGATTCCTTTATCTTTTTTGCATATCTATTACTGATTTTTGATTTGTGGTTAGCATTAGGTTTGTCTATAACATCTTCTGCCTATAGCAGTCCGTATTAAGTTGATGGTCACTCAGGTTTGAACCCATTCTTTACTCACCCCCAACATTTTAGGTATATGGTGTTATATTTTACATCGTTTTATTTTGGGAATCTCTTGACTGATTTTTACAGATATACTTTGTTTTACTGCTTTTGTGTGTCCCACTTTTATAACTCTTACTTATGGTCTTTCCTTTTCATTCAGAGAGTCTCCTTTACCCTTTTTTCTTTCTTTCTTTCTTTCTTTCTTTCTTTCTTTCTTTCTTTCTTTCTGAGTTGGTTTAGCGGTCATGAACTCCTTTAGCTTTTGTTTCTCTGAGAAATGTTATCTTTCCTTCTTTTCTGAATGACAGCCTTGCTGGATACAGTATTCTCGGCTGCAGATTTTTTTTCTTTTTAGCACTTTCTATATGTCATGCTACTCCTTTCTGGCTTGCAAAGTTTCTCATGAAAAATCCATTGATAGCCTTATGGAGTTTCCCTTGTATGTAACCATCTTCTTTTCTCTTCCTGCTTTTAAAATTCTCTGTCAATAATTTTTGCCATTTTAATTATCTATGTCTTAAGGTGGACATCCTTGAGTTGATTTTGTTAGGGGATTTCTGTGCTCCTGGATCTGGATATCTGTTTCCTTTCCCAGGTTAAAGAAGTTTTCAGCTATTATTTCTTCAAATAAATTTTCTGCCCCCTTTTCTCTTTTTTGTCTTCTTTTGTCTTATAATTCGTATGTTATGCTTGATGGGATTCACTGAGTTCCCTACATCTATTTTCATTTTGTAGATATATTTTTTCTCTCACTTGCTCAGCTTGATTACTTTCCATTACTCTGTTTTCCAGGTTGCTAATTCATTCTTCTTCTTCTGGCCTGCTATTTATTCCATCAAGTATATTTTTCATTTCATTACAGTGTTCTTCATCTCTGATTGGTTCTTTCTTATCTCTTTATTAAGG